CTCACTCATCTCCAGAGTAAATTGTCAATGTTTTGAACAGGATTCATACAGTGCTTGAGGCACTCCCTAGTAATCATTTCAAATGCCAGGATCCCTTTGAAAGCAAAGCTTACACATACCCACTGAAGCCTTCCCTGGTTGCACAACGCTCCCCACACTGTCAGCAGAGACCCGGTAAATTTGAAATAATAAGGAGCACAAAGGGCAGCAGGGACTCTGCCTTGAAATTCAGGGCTGCTTCTGAGGAAAACGGAGAGGCTGAAACAGTATCTATCCTGGTCTCTTTTCCCCTTCCCAGATGTACAGTAAGAAACAATTTTAAGTGAACTGTGGAAGAATGCGTGTGTTTAACCTTCCGGCGTGGAATAGGAAATCCTTTCAAAAAGAAAATAAGTTTCAACACTACTTCTACCTTCCTAAACAGACCGGTGTAAGACCTAAACAAATGAAAATGTTGAAATGGTCCCTGACAGGCTGAAACAATGCTGCCTCTTTTTTTCGAGGCTGCTGTTTTCTGAGCTGTGTTATTTCATAGCAACTCAAGCGGACACTGGATAGTTAAACTCTCCTCTGACTTGCACCAAAGGAATGTCTCTAGGAGGAGATTTGAATCGGATCAGAGCTTGGCAAATCTGGGTCTTTGACTGCACGTCTTCCTAAGATATAAACTGCAGCTCAAACCACAATTATGGGCTTGATGCAGAGATTATTGGAGGCAGGCGTCTGGCTTGTGTTCAGCCGGACTTCAGGCTAGAGGATGATAACAGTCCCCTCTGGCCTACAAAACCTGTGGTGCTGTGAATTTTTAATCTCTCCTTGAAAAGATAAACTTGGATGCGATGTAGGCATTCTTCACGTCGCCTTCTCCCCAGACAGATGTCTGCACCCTGCCTCCTGTGCACCGTAAGCAATGCTGGTGCTCACCAGATTTGGGGTTGCAGAGCACGGGGGGACTGCTGCTGAGCGTTGGGCTACTGCTGAAGTACCCGCTGCTGCCACAGCTACTCATGCTGCTCCTCCGTACTGCCGACACGATCTTTATCTCCTTGGTGGGACTCACTACAGAGAGAAGATACAGAGAGAAAGGGAACCGGTATCAATTATTAAACCCATTTCCCTGGTTTCTTTAAAATAACAGCAATAAGCCATACTTTTGCTGGCAACACTGGGTAGGGGTTAGTGTATTTTACATAACTAGAAGGGTCACTGGATAAGTATGATATACTCATGTATACTGCAGCTAACCCAATGGCTGAACTGCTCCCATTGCAGTGTCTTCTAAGAGGCATTTCAATACAGGGAACTAATTTCTTCCATTCTTCCTTCTACTTCCCATTTATTCTTTCAGTTCTTGCCAGATATTGCTGTACGGCAAATGCTGCAGCACCCCTTCCCCTCACTTTCACTCTTCTCAAAAAATCCACATAGAACACATAAACTAATTACTTTGGGCTTGGAGGGATTTTAACCAGTTCTGCTTGTTCATGGACACTGATTTTTGATCGGTACCTGACATGCTGTTGATATAAGTGCAAAACCACCCCAGGGAGCTAAAGATTTGGTAAATCAAGTGAATGGACCATCCCTACGAACAGGAATACGTGATACCCTGCCCTGCTTTTTTCAGATAAACACTGAAACCCCTTGGCCAAGAATGGATTGTTTAACATCCCGTGGAGTCACCCTACAGACAGCAGTACAGTGATGAGTCACCTGAGAGAAAACTGGTGTGTTTTCTGTTGTCATGGTTCTGCTTGCGCAGGCAAAACGGGCTGTCATGGCTTTCTGGCATCAAGCGAGATTTCTCAGTGAGGAGCTCCATTAATCGCCGCCGCCGGCGGAAATTCATTCTGCACTGGTAGAGCAAGTTGCTGTCCATAAAATGGTGCTTGTTGGACACTGGAAAAGGAAATGGATAGAATGTCTATGCGTGGTAGGACTGAAATCAGAGTGTACGTATTTGCAATGTGTGCGTTGCACACCTTGGTGTAAGGAAGCAACACCCAGAGCTCTCCCCTCTGCAGACTCAGAAAAAGGAGGAAGGTGGTCAGCTTCACGCAGGTAGCGGCAATATACACGCTTTTACAGCGTCAATAACTAAGTAGGAACTTTAGGGGTCGTTGCTGAGAGGAATCTTCTACAGTACCTTGATTAATGACAAGCACTTCTTATTGTCAAGTGGAAATGGAAGTACTTTATCTTTCCGTGACAGGTTGCACAATGATCCATCTCCACGCATGCTCCCTTTCTTTGCTGTTTGGTGCTGCCAGTCACTACAGACCAGACTTAGCTCCTTACATCAAGTTTTTTGTAAATTCATCAGCCTAGGGCAGCCCCTGGGAGCTCCGACTGACTACCTCGTTTGGAGCTACAGGGCAGCAGAGAATCGAGACCTGTGTATTTCCTCTGTCTTGTTCACCACAGACACTGTGTCCCAGACACTTCCTGCAGGCCACTTCCTCCTCTTTGCACGGATACACAAGGTTTGGGAACAGGCACCCAGCCAAAAATAATTTCTTACATAATGAACAGAAGTCTTAATTACAACCTGTTTTGACACTGAGGGCAAATCCCAGGTTGCTGGTGTCAGAGCCAGAGCATCAAGCCTACCTGCAGATTGCAGCATTGCCGCAACGTCTGCGCGTTCGCTGCCACTGATGCTGCAACTTAATAGCGATGAAAAATGCAGCAGTTGGATGGAGCCCTGTGCCAGGTCCCGAAAGTGCTCTGACTCCTTCAGGGCTTGATCGCAGAAGAGCCCTCTGGAGTACTCCCTGCATTAGTACTGCAGCATCTTAAATATCTGCAGTGGACATTTTGGCTGCATTTTCTCCATCTTCACCTAGCTCCTATGGTCATGTTCCACAGAAATTATTTCCCACAGTTGACCTTCTCCATGAAGGATCTGGATTCTGGATTTACCTAGTTTATAAATTGCATTTCTTCCAATATTGAATCATAAGAACTGGTGGATTATACATATTTATATGTAAAGTGTAAACACCACCACAGATACGCACTCAGACATCAGCCAGGTCTTGCACTTCATTTGGCCTCAGCCTCCTATCACAGACACCAACTTTTGCCTTGCTCTTGGCTCTGCCTGGTACAATGGGTCTAAAAGCAGCAGAGCCCAAGGTGCTACACCGGATCCAGAGCCTGGAGCCCCGCTGGCCCCCTCTCCCTTCATCCTCATCCCCAACACACTCTTGCTTGCTCTCATCCCTTCTTAACCCACCGTGCGTCTCAGATTGCTTTCCATGAGCCCCACAGAACTACACCATATATATGACAGCCTGGCAAAAAAGGCTGTATTTAGACATAAACTTCCAGTATGTCATTTGATGCTTGTGAGCTGAAGGAATAGCCTCAAAGAGGAAAAAGCACAGTCACCTTCTCCAGCAGGTGGTGGTCTCAAAGAGAATATTCAAGCCAGGGATGTCAGGTCATCCAAACAATAAAGAAGATGCCAGTCCTAGCCATGGTCCTCAAGGCACAGCCCTCCATACAGATACAGAAACTGCCATATGGGTTCAGACCATATGTCTGTCTTGCAAAGAACCATGTCTCTTGCCTGCCTGGGCCAGTGTCAGAGAGGAGACACTGCCTGTACAAATGGACTTTTGCCTTTGGAACACAAGGAATAATCAGGACACAGGAGCTTTCTGAACTGCACATGCTTGTGCCCAAGCTGCCACGCAGACTGTCTGCCCCAGAGTCCTGCAGCAGGGCGTAGGCTGTAGGGCATTTCAAGTTTTGAAAAAATGTAGCGTTTTGAAACTCTACCTTTTTTTCATGACTAAAGCATGCCAGTCAGCCAAACTGCAAAGTTTCAAGTACCATCTACACAAAAGACCCCTTTTACCTAGATTGCATGGTTCTGTTGAAGAGCTTCAGAAGAGCCAGTGTCACCTGGCTTTTCTCGGATTCATTTTGGTGCTGAACTTGTTGTTTTCTCAAATCAGCCGCACGCGTCCTCCATGAGCAAAATGGCTTTGATAAGTCGAATTTAGCATTGCAAGCAATGCGTTACTGTGTTCTGACATGTTAATTATTGCAGGCACACACTGCTGCTGTGCTCATCATTTTGGGCACATATAGTATGCAATACTATTAAACAACACTTACTAACAATCACTATTTTTGAAGAACGGAAATAGAGGAGGAGAGATTTGGAGACTTGCCTACATCCACAAAAGGCTTTGCTATCAGAGGCAGAGTTAATACGTAGGTGTTCACAGCTAGCAGTCTCATTTTCAGACCTCTGACACAATAAGTAGCAATATCTAGCAATATCCTACCACATTATTAGAATAACCTAATGCAAATACAAAAAACTTCCTTTTCTTTTTTTATGACATCTTAAAGAGTTCTCTGAAACTTAAAAAGACAAGCTCTACTTATGCAGCACACTACTGGGATTCATAATGTTAAGTGAAAAGAGGGCCCCACAAATACTCACTTGGAAGTAGAATTACTGTTGCCAACTGTTTGCCATATAAGAAATATCAGTATGGTTTCTGATACAAGTTAAATATTATAGCACTACAGTTCTTAAGTAAAACTGCTCTGTTCTGTTTGTGTCATTAACTGAAGTGCTCTGCCAGTCTTCAGAAATTATGATTATCAGAGATCAACACACAGATGTGTTGCAGATATTGTGAAGCACTCTGAAATTCTAGAATAATCATTGACCATGAAACTACATAATATAAACTTTTTTATGCCAAGATACTGAACATTGTTTAGAATATCAACACTTGTTTTGACTGCAATATTGTAATATTATATACTTTAAATAGTGAAGCTTAGGTCTTATATTGAAGTAATTCATCCCTGCTGTAACTATTTTAGTCCATGGAAGGGTGAAATTTTATACAATAAATGAATGCAAGTGGAAAAGGTAAGCCCAATGACTGTATGTTTTAGAATATTTGTATATGATTTACACAATAAAGGGTTTGTAGCCAGAACGTTCATGACAAGTAGTATGCGAACAGAATCTGAGTGTTCATTGATTTTCACAGTTTAATTCCTTGTTTCTACTGGTAATTCACATTTCATGCAAGAGTGTTAGAGTAACAGCACACATCCTCCGTTTGAGCAAATAAAGTATTTGTAGCACCATGTAACTTTTTGCATTTTCCATGACTAAAAGGTAATATTTATGTACATTTAAGGAGAAGCTCAAAAAATAAACAGGAGTAGTTAGCTCAAACTGCCTCCTTGTACATATATCGTTGTCCTGGTTTCGGCTGGGATAGAGTTAATTTTCTTCCTAGTAGCAGGCATAGTGCTGTGGTTTGGATTTAGTAGGAGAAGAATGCTGATAACACGCTGACGTTTTAGTTGTTGCTAAGTACTGCTTACACTAGTCAAGGACTTTTCAGCTTCCCCTGCTCTGCCAGGTGCACAAGAAGCTGGGAGGGGGCACAGCCAGGACAGCTGACCCCAACTGCCCAAAGGGCTATTCCATACCATATGACGTCATGCTCAGTATAGAAACTGGGGGGGGTTGGCTGGGGGGCAGCGATCGCTGCTCAGGAACTGTCTGGGTATCGGTCGGTGGGTGGTGAGCAATTGCATTGTGCATCACTTGCTTTGTATATTATTATTCCTAGTATTATTATTATATTGTTGTTACCATTATTACTTTTTTACTTTATTTAAATTATTGAACCGTTCTTATCTGAACCCAGGAGTTTTCTCACTCTTACTCCTCTGATTCTCTCCCCCATCCCACTGGGGCAGGGGGAGTGAGCGAGCGGCTGCATGGTGCTGAATTGCTGGCTGGGGTTAAAACACGACAATCATCAAATAAAATATTAAAATATCTCACCAAAATTACTGGTGTGCCCCATGGGGCTTTTTTTTTTTTTTTTTTTTTTTTAATTATAACA